TGTCAAAATACTTTGGGCTGCATGTATAATCATATGCTGCTTTTAGTTCTTGTTCTAATATAAGTAGATATTGAAGAAAAAGATGATGATGAAGGTGAAGATAATGGCAAAGAAGAAAGCTCATTGATTTTTTCTTATATTCATTTATTATGTTAACATGTTCCAGTTGTTTGGATAAAGAATTAGCCAATTTATTTTTTGTCTGTAACAGTTCTGATAAAAGATCTAGATCTGGTAGGGACACTTGAATTCCAACATTGTGGACCTTTGGCTCAGGAGATGGTTGAGATAAATTATTACAAAATAGCATTCTTTTGTCCATAATCCATAGAAGTAAAGTCACATGTTTGTAATGTTTGAATAAGAGAATCACTAGCAACAATTTGATTGTAATGTCTTTCACAAAGGGAGTAATCTTCTAAAGAATTAGATAATGAAAATAATTTGGGAAAATACTTAGTAAAAAGTTGTACATGTTCTATTACTGCCTTTCCTGATGAGCCTTGCCTCCAAGATTGATTAATTTTAATTTCAAGTCATGACTCTTTGAGTATATGTCAACAAGTTCAGCAAATAAGCAAGGTAATGTGCTGGATAATGGTCTTGATATTTTATTCACTAAAATAATAAAAAAAATATTATTTAGGTAAAAAGCAAACATTTTGTACAAAAATTTGTCAAATTTGGATAAAAGCATACTTCTTTCAAATTAACAGATTACAGTCAACCCCATAAGTGCATTTATGGGGGTGCATATAGGGGGGTTGACTGTATAACAGTTTTTCTACAGATTATGAAAGAGAAAGTTTGAAGGTATTATTTCAATTATTATTATGGAGGTTTGTGTAAAAAAAAAGTGATAAAAAATAAATGAAAGTTATCATGTTAATTCGTTTGCATCACTATATGAATTGATCAACAAAAATTTCCAGAATCAATTCCAAATTAAGGTTTCTGGTCGAAACTGCTTCTATTAGTAGCTGAAATTGCCCAAATACTTTGGGCAAAAATTATTTTTTTATAAGCCCAAACTACTTT